CTGGGATCGTTGTGTTCACTCCCAGGGGAACTACTTCGAGGGTGATGGATGAATTTAATACCTGAGATAAGTGTACGGGTTTTTATACGCGCAGTCTAGAAACTTTCCGATCGCACCTCGTAAATGGTACCGATCAATACTGACACAAAGCAAGGATGGGCTCATTTTTGTAAAGAGTTTATGACAGGCTCGGGGATAAAATCTCTGTCGATAAGAAATTCATATTGCAACAGAAGTGAATTCATTTGCTAGACGAGAGTCAGGCAAGAAGTTTCTCTGCAAAGAATCGTTCTCACAGTCCCCCTTTTTTGGCCGTGGAAACAGTTAAATATCTCACAAATTATAAAATCCTAATGTACAACTAACTGTTAAGGACCACGACAAATAATTTAGGTATCTTTGAATTATTATTATTACATTAAAGTTCGCACTAAATTATACTCTAGGACAGCGTTTATCAACCTATGGTAAGAAAATCAGAAGCTAATATCAACATAAATAAGTTTTCCCTGAACGCATTTTGTTAGTGCAGAACACTAAATAATAATAAGATGAGGTGGTCTAGCGGTTAGAACGCTGGCCTTGTAATCCTGGGGTCTCGGGTTCGATTCCCGGCGGTGCCAGAATTTATAACTTGTGTTGGGCAAGGCCGTGGTCTAGGCAACACAGAGTTTTCCTCCGTGGCATCCCAACAATTACTCCACTCACACACAGAAGAAGGCAATGGCAAACCACTTCTGGATCATCTGCCAAGAACGTATAAGAACAGGTCCCAGTCCGAGAAAAGGATGGAAGGATCCTGTTCATATGGACCTGTCGTCAGACAGAACACTAAATAATAATAACAAGTAAGATCATAGGAACATGCTGATATCATCGTCAGTTTTAAATTTCTGTGTACAGTGTTGGGCAGAACGCTTATCATATCTTGTTAAGTTCATTAAGTCCTGTTAATTACAATCAGAGGTTTTAATTTTGTTTCATTTCCTTTGGATTTAATCTTGGTTCTGAATATATCTTCGGTTGTTCGAACGATGTGGGATTCTGGGAGCAGATGTTCGCTGGATTGACGTGTGTACACCAAATTCCCATAATCCAGTGAAATTGGATGGCAGGTCGTAGGGAGATGTGTATTACTTTGTCAGCTTAGCCCATTCCCACTGCCTCCCGTGGGAACAGAATCGGGTACAGTCACTGGGAAGCAGATGGATGAGAGAATTTTCAGAGCCTGAGATCTGAGGTTAAAGCCTAAATGTGTCCGTATGCAGAACTTGAAGGCAAACAAGTGTTAAAATGGCGAGCGAGGAAGGAGCTAAGATTGAAATAGTACGAATTACTGGCGAATATAAGGTTGTAAAACGTGGGATTAAGAAAATTAAATTTCAGAGTTGAGAATAATTTGGTAAGTTACGTACAAGAAATTTCAGAGGTTGAAGCAGATTAAACGGAACCTGACACGCACTTACGAAGGGTAACAGCTTCAAGGGCTCCGATGCCTCGCGGTTATGAGAGCGAGTGAAGAGCAGAAAACCACTCAAAAGATAATTAACAATGAGAAACTTCCTAAACGTTGCACTTCTCTTCACACAGAAACACGGAGACCAGCCTGTAATGACTTAACCCGTGAGAAAGAAGGAAGAGTTTACAATTACTTAGCATCTCCAATAAAGAAAGCTCTCGAGCTCATGTCTTGAAGATATCGAAGCCACTTAATTTCTGAATTTTCTTCAGGCTATCACAGATTAAATTTCTAGACATTAATAATTTTATGTTCATAAAAGTTCAATTTATATTCAGAATCAATATTGTGACGTAACTCAAGATCACACAGTGAGTTCAATCAAGATGAGTTTATTGCCCATAATATGGATGTAATTTAAACTACTTTTATAGTAAATAATCCTCGTTTGCTACGTAGTAGTCAGTATAGTGACTAGCTACGGGCTGGATGGCCGGGGTTCGATCCCCGACGGGGGCAGAGGGTTTTTCCTCTAGCCTCTGCGTCCAGACCGGCTCTGGGGCCCACCCAGCCTCCTCTACAATGGGTACCGGGGTCCTTTCCCGGGGGTAAAGCCGGCCGGGGCGTGATGCTGACCACTCACCCCCATCTAGTGCCGAGGTCAAGGAAGAGAGGAGCTATACCTCCACTCACCCCAAACGCCTACATGGCGTATAGTGGGACAAACTTTACTTTTTACTTTTACTGTCATCCGGTTATCGAACACGGTACTGTGATCGCCAGTTTGCCGCTCCTATATAGCTAGGCCGCCCGCAGATCCTCTCCAGTGCCCGAAAGATTGTTCACTGTCCCTCCACTGCTTCAGAACTTACCACTCCACAATCCGATCCCAAGAATGCCTCTCATCTGACGAAGACGCAAGATAGTCTTTTACAAGTTCAACTCAGTTTCTGAAAATTACGCAGCGTTAATCCCATAGACCATTGGTATTCAACCAAGGGTACGCGAAGACATCTTAGGGGGTACGTGAAATTTAAAAAAAAATTTTTTTATGATAAACACTGAATAATCAGTAATGTAATTTATTTAATTTATTTTAGATGTAGATTATATACTATGTATAACTTGAATTATACACCAACAACTTTGGGGGTACAAAGTTGAAGAGAAATTATATCTGGGGGTACGCG